TTTTTGCTAAGTTTTTCGTTACTGGTCCAAATGCGGCGAAATTGAATACAAATATACTGTAAAGCACATATATATCAGGCAAAAAAAAAAAAAAAAAAAAAGTAAAAATTTGGGAAAATATGGTAGTTTAAGTGAAAATTTTGACAAAATATGTCGAAATTTTGGCCTATCCAAGGTCAACGAAATTTCTCGGTACTCCTACGGGGGGATTAAGACAACGAAGATCTTCTCTGAAACAATACGATTGGCAACCACGGATGGAAAAAGAGATGAGAAGAAGGAAAACATGCTCTACTGTCGCCTAAGGCTCGAGAGAAAAGACTCTCTTGTGCCTTGTGCCGTCTATTGGGAAGACGGGGCCGCATCCGAGGAAAAATGCAAGGGCGCTCGTGAGGGTGGGCAATGTTGTCGGAGAGGGGAACAGCCGAGTGTTGCAGGCTTGCGACTCGGGAATAAGTGTCGAGGAAAACAAAAGTATCATGCATTTTTATCGAGGAATTTGAATTTCAAAGTGTCTCACCAAAAGGAAAAATGGCAAACGACCGTGCGACCTCATTTTTCCGACCACGTCGGTGAAATTGAGCCTTTAGGCCCGGAATTTCGAAATAGGGTCGGGGAAAGAGGTATGGTACCAGGCCGGTCTAATTCCCGACAGGGCGGCCCGCTTTGTCCCTCTCGTGATCATTTGGGACCGAAATAGGCTCGAGGCTAGGTCCGGGCAGTGCCTCGGTACCAGGGCGCTGCAACTTTCTCGACAAGCGCGCCCAACCTCCGTGATTGAGACTCGACTGCTGGGACCATCAACGGAGGGCCCAACAAACTTTAAAATCCCAACTGGGCTCGTGTGAGGGACACTTGGGACTTCCGCACTTCTTGGCATGCAAGGTGTGCTCGCCTTTGTAGGCCTAAGGATCGGGAGGAGTGAAGACATCACGAACGAACCCACGAATGGGTATGTTGCGTGAGAAGCGGTTAATGGAAGGCCCAATTCTCGGTGAATTTTGGCGAATTTTTCATCGAAACTGCCATATTTTTCCAAATATTTTTTTTTTTTATTGGTTTCGAAAAAACATGGCTGTTTCGGTGAAAAATTCGCCAAAATTTGGGCCTTCCATTAACCGCTTCTCGCAGTCACCACTCAACCTACATCCACGTGGGCGGCCTTGTACGCAAGAGATTATGAACAGGGGGAGTTGTAAGTAAGAAGATTAAACATGAATTTATATCCTTTTTGTTTCCTTTGTTTTTTTCGTTTTTGCGCTCTGATAAGTTTGTGACAATATATGTACATGGTAGTCGCAATATATTAATTTGATTTTATTTTTTTGTAGACAAGGTGTTTTATCGTTTTCGCATTCTAGTTGGTTCTTTCTCGTTAATTGCCCTGTGCTTGACGGGGGGGGCATTGTCGCTCAACCTGCATGCATGTGGCGACGTTGTATGCAAGAAGTTCTGAACAGGGGGGGTTGTAAGGAAAAAGATTAAAAAAACTATTTTATTTTTTTCTTATTTTTTTTTCTGTTGAAAACCGCTTTTGCGATCTGATAAGTTTGTATATGTATATATATATATATATATATATATATATATATATATATAACGACCGAGGGACGAATGAATCCACAAATAAAAATAACAATCAACCAATCGATCAACAAACATGAAACAATCAACCACTCGTTTTGTCAACCTATCGTTGGATCACTCCTTCTGCAAACCAATCGGAAATCAATCAATCAATCGATCAATCAATCAATCAATCAATCAATCAATCAATCGATCAATCAATCAACCGAACAATTTATGAAGCAATCAATTGATCAATCGATCAATCTTCCATTCACTCAAACGATTAGTGCATGAATTGCAATTTCTTGAAAATGACTCGATTGATTGGCATGGAAGTTAGAGAGAGAGAGAGAGAGAGAGAGAGAGAGAGAGAGAGAGAGAGAGAGAGAGAGAGAAAGAGAGAGAGATTTTATGGAATGTTCTCCTTCGTAATAAAAACAACAATTGTTCGGTACAACAGGTTCGGACGCGCACACACACACACACACACACACACACACACACAC